ACTGAATTGGCAGGCTTTGAAAGAGTGTCTTGATTCTCAGAGTAGGTACAATACAGATTAATAGCATCTTCCCAGCAGACACTCATTCATCAATACCATCTACACTGGCCTGGAAGGAAACACCCCTGGGGTGCTGGGGAGAAAATTCCAGGGAAGAATCCTGTTAGCAGTCCTGGTGATGGCAGATTTTGTGTCAAGGACTCTCGTCTGTTAAGATATAGACCAAATCAATCCATTACATCTCTGCTGACCTTCTTATTTAGGCTGCTGCTTGAACTCTGCCTGAGGTGCCTGGCTAAATGAATGTGCAGGACTAGCTACGTGTTTATTTTGTTTTATTAACTAACAATGACTGCAAAGTATTTGCAGTCAACAACAGGCAGATGGTTACAACCAGACTCACCTGGAACTAAGCATGAAGCAAAGAAGAGGACAGTTTACGTTACTATAGACTTGCTCAGCCTGTGGACTGCTCTCTGCAGTTCCTGACACTGAAGTAGCAATAAGAAGACAGTATGATTTCAGAAGCAGTGATAAGATTAGTCTGAAGTCTAGAAAAACTAGGCCAGAATTACTTTTAACTTCACAGGGTTCAAGAGAAAAATCTTGCTGAATAATTTAAAAATTAAATTTACTCCAAAGCAATTGGCTTTCCAATTTCTTACTCCTTTATCTGCCTGTGACCAATATGCCTTACACAGATATGTCCTTTATTGTAATTTTTCACTTGGATCAGCGTTGGTTGCCCTCCCTGATTTCTACATTATGGCCACCATTTGTTTGTACTGAAAAAACCAAAAGGTTTTAACTTAACTGTTCAGACTGGTTAATAGATTTCATCACCTTGCATGCAAAGTCAGTGGTTGTATGTCTGAGGTGTTTTTTCAGTACCACTGACCCCATCCTTTGCTCTAGTTTTAGAAAAAACAGGGAAATAAATGCCTAATCATACTTTCTCCCCACCCCCTCCCTTCTTCTCTGTGGTCAGGGTTTATTTTCATACCAAACCCTTTCCTTCCCGGCTGCCAGCGTCACTGGGTGAAACAGTGTCTCAAGCTATATCCCCAGAAACCCAATGTCTGCAACCTGGACCTGCACATGGCTCCTGAGAAGACCATTGACCTGTGGGGACAGAGCAAGGAGCAGCTGAGGTAAGTCCACAATAACCTTTGGTTGTCAAAACTAATGGAGCCAGAAGGTCTAAGAAAAAGGAGCAGGGAAGGGAAGCTGAAGAAGGTTGTGTGCATGCTGGCAGTATACAGATGGTGTCAGACATGCCAAGTTGAAGATGGATTTTTCATGGCTTGATATGCATCCCTGTTAATTCTCTGCTTTCAGACTCACAATGGGATTTTCTAGTAGCAAATTATTCCAAAGCCATCAGTCAAATGTAAAATAGTGACCCTGCCTGGTATCATGGTGCTTGGAAGCTTGCTAAGCTCAGCTACAAGTGGAACCATGAAGTAAGTCCCTCTAGGCCTCAGTTTTCCTGAGGCAAAAAGGATACTTTCCAAACTCCCACTCATGCTAGCTCTTCTTCCCAATCAGCTGTTGGACCTAGTATACTGTAATTGAAAGGCTGTTACCTGCACTTTTTTGAACTTTCAAGTCAGCTTGTTTTTGTGGTTTTATTTTCCAAAGTATTCCTTTGTTTTGGTTTGGGTATTTTTTTTTTTTATTCAGTCTGAGATGGTGATTAAATGTACCATTTTATTGGCAATCCTGTTTACTCTGAAAGACTCCCACAGGTTGAGTTTGTGGCTGATGCAGCTGCCTTTCCTCTACCTGTTTTGGAAGTTGATGGAGAATTTCTCTAAGTTTTGAAGCCAAGTAGAAAGTTTTAAAGTCCAAGTTTTAAGGACCACTTTTTTTTGTAATTAGTCAGCTGTAAAAATACATACAAGATAGATGCTGTTTACAGTACACAATCTTCTAGTTATTTGGGTATTTATCATTACCTTGTTGACTTCACTGCTCATTTTTCATAATGATTGTTTCATGTGATGAAGTGACCAAAGTTCCCTACAACTCTCATCTTCCACCTCAGTTGCTTATTGAAATTAACATGCTGAGATTTTTCTTCAGAAATACTCTTAACATCTACAGGATATGGAATGACAAAAGCAAGATTAGGACTTCTAAACATTTGCACCTAGGAGAGAAGTTATGCCCCCACTTGTCTTTTCCAGGCTCAGTCAGAATTAGTTACAGAAATTCATATGCCTTTTTTGTGTTCCATCAAGAAAGTGAAAAATTGGTCTTTGAAAGTATTGTGTGTTGTGCCTTACAGCTGAAAGAAGTGGGGTACTGTTCTGGCTTGACAGGCCTTTCCCAGCAGCACATTCTGCTCTCAGAGAGAATGATCAGAACAGAGGTTAATTTGCAGCTGAATCCAGTTTAGTTGAAAACTGTGTTTGGGAGAGTGATGGCTGGCAGAAACACTGGCAGTTTTATTAAGCATTTGCCTGAGTCTTCAAGTGAGCAAACTGCTGTATTTGTGCTCTTACCTAGGGGACAGCGGATCAAACTAGCCTACTTGTCTAGAACCTGGAGTGAGAGCCTTACAGGGAGGGGAGAAACAGAGTGCTTAACTAAAAAGAGGTCTACTTCCAAGATTGGACACAACTTTAATGCTTTTTAAAGCCATCAGGAAGATGCATAGATGTGCTTGGGTCATGGCTTACCTGCTCTTTTCAGGATGCAGGAATCGCAAGGTAGGGAGAGTCCATACAGTTCCTATAAATGTATGCTATGCTCTCTTCACAAAGTGGAGTTGGGGGACTTTCTTTAGTGCTGGTAACAATAAAAGGGGGTAGAACATCCCTACAAGGGAGATGTATATCCTTGTGTATAAGGAGAAGGCTGGGGGGATTTTATAGATGCAATCAGTAACCAGCAAATAAAGAAAAAAGACAGCTTCAGACCATGGCCCCTCTACTGTTCAGTCTTGTTCTTTCTAACATAGTTATATCAATTTCTCTGTGCTTTCCTGTAGGAGCACCTGCTAGGTACTCATAGTTTCCAGACACATCACACTCAGACTTTCCTCTCCTTAGCAATCACGTGTGAAATCATAGAATCATAGAATGTTTTGGGTTGGAAGGGACCCCTAGAGGTCATCTAGTCCAACCCCTCTGCAGGGAGCAGGGACACCGCTAACTAGATCAGGTTGCTCAGAGCCCCGTCCAACCTGGCCTTGAATGCTTCCAGGGATGGAGCCTCCACCACCGCTCTGGGCAACCTGTTCCAGTGTTTCACCACCCTCATTGTAAAGAATTTCTTCCTTATATCTAGTTTAAACCTACCCTGGTTTAGTTTAAAACCATTACCCCTTGTCCTGTCACAGCTGGCCCTACTAAAAAGATTTTCCCCATCTTTCCTATAGGCCCCCTTTAGGTATTGAAAGGCCGTAATCAGGTCTCCCCGCAGCCTTCTCTTCTCCACAGGCTGAACAAGCCCAACTCCCTCAGCCTGCCCTCATAGGAGAGGTGCTCCAGCCCTCGGGTCATTTTTGTGGCCCTCCTCTGGACCCGCTCCAACACTTCCATGTCCTTCTTGTGCTGAGGGCTCCAGAGCTGGACGCAGTACTCTAGGTGAGGTCTCACCAGAGCAGAGTAGAGGGGCAGAATCACCTCCCTCGACCTGCTGGCCATGCTTCTGATGCAGCCCAGA